AGGGTCAGGATGACGGTTTGTGGGCTGACAGACACATGGCGATCAGATCCTTAATCTACTGTATGCTCAATGTCTTCCAGAGTGGTGTCTAGAATATTTATATGGACCTGGAATGGGACAGTTGGGTACCTGGCTTGCGCACTCAGCTCCACATTCTCAATAACATTCTCTCGCTCGTGGGAATGTTCGTTTCCTATAGGGTTTCCTGAGGGTTTTGAGCCACCCCCTGCCCAGGCGTAACAATGAAGGTTTTGAAATGAGTTTCGCAGAAAGTTTTTATAGTCTTGAGTCCCGCTCCAGTCACTCTCTGTTATTACCATGAATAGGTGTTTAGAAGTGACCACTGGATATGAGAACTATACGCAATACTTCCACACATGGCAGAGTGGCTATTAATGATAATTTTATACCCACCTTTCAGTTATTTCTGAAACGAAACGTCACATACAGCAGATGTCTTGTCTTGGCATCTCAAAATGCAGGTCACCAATGAACCCGTTATTGAGTGGCAAAAATATTATTGCCTCCAAGTTGTTTTATTTGATAAGAGTAGTGATACCTACCTGTATCTGTAGGTCCATGTCTGCCTTAGGCTGCACAGAAATCTGAGTGTCTTCAGTGTAAATTAAGTGAAAGTTAACGCAACAGTCATGGATGACCTGACCAAGTGGTAGTATGTACATGCTGAAGAAGGCCCGATAATGAACGTTACCAAACAGAGAGGTATTAGATGTTGCTCTTCCTTTCACGAAGTGCAGTTGTCTACAAAGATAAAAGAGCCAACCTAAGAGCAACTGCAGAGAATATAACATAGGTCTCTGCACGGTTGAGGAAGATTGCTGGATTAGATGTGTCAAAGGTAACACTGAGGTCCAGCAAAGCAAAGACACACTGGATGAGTCTCAAGCCATGAGGTGAATATTAGTCAACAGGGCTGTTTTGGTATTCTTGAATTCTATGAAGCTCGAACACTAAAAAGAGCTTTGTTTCCCATTGAATTATCTTTACATTTTATTGGTAAATCTATCACATTTCCCAATAAAATGTGATTGCCTCATTGTCAGGTGTTTCATTTGGATCTCTCTACACACTCTTCTAGTTTAAACACTGTTGTTCATAATACAGAGTACAGATCTCTTTGGATGAATTGTTAGCTTTACACATGTAGAAATAATAACATTTGAAAACCTTAAAATTGTGTTGTTGCATAAAGAAGGAAAAACAGTGTGAAAAGAGAACAATAACTCAAACTGTTTAAGACGTGCACAGTGTAGGCTAAATAGTTTGGTTAAGAATACTGAATATTTCAATTAGATAATTAAAAGTGCATTTGAAATGAAATCCCAAAGATCCTTTCAAATAGTATTGATGCTGCTGTAGGATCATTGAGGTTACAGGGAGAAGTGAAGATCTGCATGCTAGTGAAAGTTTAATTGTTTAGTGTTTATATTGATGCATAAATGATGTACACGCAAAATATTGTCATCCAACAGCAACACTGTCTGAAAAAGATGAAGAAAATAAGTGGTTTCTTATTGTTACACTGTGCAGGGATATTCATCGATCTTAGTACACATTTATGGGTAGAGCACCTAATGTTTAGTGATCGTCATCATCAGTCCTTTTGTATCTAAACTATGCTGTATGTTTCTGCTCTTTAATGTAAAAAAAAGTGTGCCGAGAGTTTCAGTACATGGCAGACAAGATGGAGAAGTGAAAAAAACAAGGGGGAAATTTAGGCAGGCTTAATTATGCAAGGCCAGAGGACAGTTATGTTGGACCCCAGGGCTTCCACCCTAACTGTTATGAACAGAACTAGGGAATCTTTAATGACTTAATAGGACTTTGAATAATGTCTCATCTGAGGGACCTCACCTCCTTTAGCAGTGTCGTCAGCAAACTTTACTGTGGTGCAGTAAGGTGTACATTGTTTCTCATTGAACAGTAAATGGTGAAATATCAGTAAATGGTGAACATCAATTTCCAGATGGGAAACTGATGTTCCTTATAATTACACACATCGTGAGGACAGATAGTCTTTCCAGATCTATTAGCGGTAGAAGTTCTAACTGACTGAATCTCTAGTAAATAGGAACAGTGAAAAAATAATGTTATTGAATGAATAGTATGCTGCAAATGTGTGTTTAATTTTTCATCCCTTTCATTTAAAGATACGATTTGTTTGAAAAATTAACTATCACTTGCTTTCGGAGTTTCTGAGTTCATATTACTAACTCAAAAGTATTTCAAAATGTAGAAAACTGAGATCAATTGATAACAGCGCAAATTCACAGATGCAAATTCATTCATCATATGCAAACCACTGTAGACGTGATCAGTCTCACTTCCTGCCGATGACATATTATTCCTGCAGAATTCTGTTTTCTGTTGTGACGCTGACATTATTGTTAATTTGACTGTTCAAATGTCTATGTCATTAAGCATATGTACAGCACATTTTATTCTGACTTTTTAATCTGGCATTCACGTCAGAAATGGCATTATATAATTATATTTTAATGTGATTAACAACCAGTTCTGAATACATTTCCCCTGCTGTGATTTGAATTAAAGTTTGTTTACTGATGGTCGTGCTTGTTAGTTCAGCATAAATATCATTATTGATTGCAATGGAGTTCCCAGTTGTGATTAAATGGAGAAGATATACTTTGCGTGACTTTTGCTGTCATTTTTTGAGAGTAGTTGCCCTTTGCCAGTTTTAATCAGGAAATTATTTTGAACTTTGTAAGTAAAACAAGTTGGCAGTTTAAATTTCAGAATGAAGAAAACAGTTTTCCATGTTTGTATTCCAGTGGAAATGCAGTCTGTGGCTGAAATCTAATGCAGGTGAATTTCTGCCTTTCTAAATTTAAGTTTTAAAGTTAAATACTACTATTAAACAGATTTAGAATCCATCAGATTTTTTTAAACACAACACAAAGCACAGTGATGTTGAATTTGAGATGTATAAATGTAACTCCGGATTATAAAATTAAGAAAATGTTATTAAACAGCTACATTCTTTTTTAACTGTACTTTATTTTCATTTTAACAGTGATTCTTGTGAGTGTCTTTACTCATTAACACATGGAAAGATTTAACCACATTCATTCCTAATTCTTGATTGTAAGGTCCCAATGCCTTATTTTCATATGACTGGTTTTATGAGTGCAAATATTTTTTTAAAAACGTGTTTTAAAGTAGATTTAATGGTGAATGGCAAAATAATTTACTTGAAATAATGTTATCTCTTCTCCCACTGTGAATGCCTAATGGCAGGTAGATTAACGTTCCTTATTAAATTATGCAAATCTTTCATAATTATTTACTATCTTTGAGATACTAAAGAAAAAAAATCTGAAATTTGGCTGGAATGTCTGGATTGCAACATTGCAAACAGATTTAAAAACCATCACACAGCACAGATTGTAAGGAGTGAACATTACTTTTTTATTTTTACACACACTGTAATGTAACATTTGTATTTCTTCAACATAAATATACTATATATGAGTACAATGTTATTAATATAAATTCTCTATGTACTTTAAAATGCTCAACTACATTACATATACAGTATTAATAACATGATGGAATTTGGAATTTTAGTTATTAAATTAAAAAAAGATATATGTTTTTACAGCAGTGGTTTGCAGGTTCAGTATTTTTGTATACTTCCAGAAAATGCATCCCAGCTTGTAAAAGATTTGTAGAATGTTTAGTATATTTTGTGATGCATTAAGTAAAGAGTTAGCATAATTGTCCTAACTTTACACTATGCACACAGATATTAGAAAACAACCTAGATTCACCTGAAGAATTGAACCCTGAATTCCAGCGCTGTGAGGCAGCAAAGCTAACTGTGCCCTTTTGTTTTGTAATTGCAAATTGTTTTATCATTTCAAAATTAAACTACAGCTGCTCTAACATGTGGGGAGAATGAGCACATACCTGAGATGCTAGCCATCCCACAGTGTCTTACCGGAGAGTTAATACCATATAGAGAACATCTGTAGTTGATGCCACTGCAAACATGCAAACTTTCGATGCCTCTGGTGATGTCCCAGGGCTCACAGCTGTGTGGCTGTTTGAAACCCAGCTAATCACTGAAGTGCTTTGCCATTTGTGTGCTGGTACCTGAGAATTGTTACAGTTGGCTAAATGACATTTTAATAACATTATTAAATCTTCATGATCTAATTTAAATGGCTTTCACCTCACGGTCATCGGTAGGAGATTCAAGGTTTGATTCTTCTATGCCTGGGTCAGCTGGAGGATTTCATATTGCCTTCATTCACACCTCTTCTACCTGCCTTATAAATCTGCAGATCTGTGGTGAGGACTGAAAAAAAAAGGATATTTTAAACTGTGTTTTTACTAACCTGAAAACCCCTAGTGGAGAGTTTGTAATTTGGTCAGGCCCAGGAACAATAAATTAAACGTAATTCAAAAAGGAGGAGAGTCGGGGTCTAAGCAGGATACACCCTGGATGGGATGCCAGTCTATTATAGGGCACACATGGATACACATGTACACACTCACAAGGGTGTATACTGTGGCTACTCTTTAATGATGAAAACACCAGGGCCAATTTTCCCAGAAGCTAGTTAACCTACCAAAGTATGTCTTTGGACTGTGGGAGGAAACTGGAGCACCCAGAGAAAACCCATGTGAACACAGGGAGAACATACAAACTCCACCCAGATAGCACCCCACATCCAGAATGTCTTTGCTATGTTTGCTTATACAGTACCTTATTAAATCAGTGTTTCAAGGAGTCAAAACTTTGACTCAAAAAATTATAAAGCAATGGAGCAAATACCATGCAAAGTATTTTCTTTAATTTTTATCACTGAGATGTAGCCGCGGCACACTTCCTTATCTGATTATTCACTTGATTTGAATATGTTTTAATATTAAAATAAAAATAATCCTGAGAGACAAACGTTTGGTAAATTCTTTGAGCACACGTCTGAAAAGTACGTTTTCATGTTTTGCAGAAGAAATCAAAAAAGGGATCTATTGATTTACAGAAGATCAAGTGTGTTGAAATTGTGAAGAATGGAGGTGGGGTTATCCCATGTCAAAACAAATATCCTTTTCAGGTAAGTGAATATATACCTTATACCTTGAATGAAGTTAATCCACTCCCCACAGAATTATGATAGACAGCCAATGTTTAATTGATGGAGCAGGTTCTAATCCTTTTCATCCCATAGATGCACTCATTGCAGAATGCGTGTGTGTCCTAAACTGTATAGAAATGAGTTTTTAAAGTGTACTTATAGTTAATAAAATTGCTTTGAACTGTGCTGTCATTATAAACAGCTAATTCAGAAACAACTAAAGAGAATGTGATGGAATGAAAAGAAATGTCCACAATGTTTGTGTTTTAGTGTTTACAAAGTGATATCCTGTCACTCCCACATTGTTGTGTCTGAAATCCAAATCATTGTTACCACTTGAAGGGAGAAATGTCATGGAAAACATAATAAAGCACATTGACTTTAAATCCAGTGTAATTGTCAAACCTAAACATATCCTGCACTGATGGTGTTAACATTAAAATAAAGATGTCCAAGCTTCTGTTTTTTTGGAAGACTGCATTTTTTAACTTTTTTAAATTGTTAAAATGTTAAAGTTCGTTAATGCAACAAAAAATAGGGCTTCCAGTAATTTTAGAAACTTGTGTTTACCATAGACATACAATGCAACTGATAGTTGTATTGACATTAGACTTTTAATCCTTGTGTATTCAATGACAATGAACCTCCCCCAGAAAATCAATCAAGTTAATTTAAGTTCAAACACTAATATGCTTAAACACTGCGAATCAACTTTCTTAGTTGTACGGTACAGTATATGGCTGAGATCAGTTGTTGTTTCAGCAAATGACTGAGAGTTCTGCACAGGATATGTGTGAGAATTCAGCCTTATTGCCATTCTTCATCCTTCATAGAATCTTCTTCCAATAACTGGGAGAAGAAAATACATAAAATCTTTCCATTTACTATTATTTATGTCTAAACTTATGTTTAAACTTTTGTCTTGTGTCTAATGAACTACTCGTCTGGTCAATTTCTTTTGGTAAATTTTAAATATTAATTGAAACAGAAGAGACCAATGGTCTAGTTACACTGTTCTTCTTCTGACATTGAAGGGTTTGTCACTTTTCTTGTGCTTGTCATTTTTACAAATAATTAAGGAATTGAAGTGTAACATATATTTTTTTTTTACAACACAACGTGACCGTAAACTTAATTTTGAAACTACAGATTTACATGATGAGAACTACCCTGTATCATGGTATAGTGAGCTTGGTTCTAACAAGTAATCCTACATATGATGTGCATTTGATATTTGCAAAACATCTGTGATATAGCTGTTGAGGAAATCAATTTGGGCTTGTTTTAGGAAGTTCTGAAAATATTTGGAAGTATTTTTTAAAATAATGCCAATATAAGACTAAGACCTAGATTAAATTTCAGCCCATTTAATCAATAACAAAGTATAGAGTCAGTACTTGATGGTGAGTTCCTGTTTGTTGCTTTTTCTTTGTAGCATCAAATTGTTTCTTTCATGTTGCCTCTGGGTTTGTAAATTATTGTTGGAGGGAGTCATTTTGATTTAATATGGATCTTAATCTGTCAGTTTAGATCAAAAGGACTGAAGTTTCTATTTCTACAGCTCTGCCAAGCCAATTAATTTCTGACCTTTTTCCCAGGTTGTGTATGACGCAAATACCTTATATGTTTTTGCTCCGAGTAATGACAGCAGAAGTTTGTGGGTTCAACACATAAAAGAAGGTAAACTCGTGCTCTTCAGTAATATTGATTAAATGACAGAAAATAGCAGATCACTTGAAATGCAATGATAGAGCCATTTTTTTTCTTTTTGCAAATTAAACTAAGACAAAGCCAGCCATTCTAAAATTCAAAAGGGACTGATATAAGAAGTAATTTGTGTTTTGAAATACAAATCCAATATATTTCAATTATTTGTCATTGAATTGATCCTAACAGCTTAAAATGCAGAATAAACTTTGTTTTTTATTTGCTTCGCACATGAAAGTTGAAATGTCAACAAATACTGGTGTGATTAGTTGCATAAAGTAGTGAGTATGAAGTTATTATATATGATGGTGTTATGGTTTTTGAGCGAGGTTTAAGGCCAGCATGCTTTGAATATAGCCAGGTACAGTATATAGCCAAAAAAAAGTTTTACTACCATTATGCTATTTCTCATACCTTTTTACAAAGTATTGCAACAGAGTGTCAGTCTTTAGAACATGGCTCTACTACATGCCTATACTATTGAACTACAATGTACTATACAGGATATTATTAGATATAGGAAAAATAAAACTAAAATCCACAAGACAGGCATTCCTGCATAGCTCAACCAGTATAGATAATAACTCAGAGCACAGGCTGAGTCCTCTATACCAGTTATCCATGGTTTGATATCAGCAAAGTTCTAACTTCAAGTTGTCATATGTGCTGTTTAAGGCAGAAGTAAGCAGTGTCTGAATCAATAGATGATCCCAAGGGCAGTGATGAGAGAGACAAAACAGGGGAGCAGTGGGCAGAGTGGTGTTGGGTAACAGGCAAGGGAAGATGGCAGAGTGGTGTGCAGGGTGAGCCAGTTCAGACCCATTATCAGGGACAAAGCAAAGTTTGTAGCTGTAACAAAGCACCAAGCTTTGCAAGCCGAGGTCTAGAAAGCAAGCCAAGTTGTAGCCAAGGGTAGCTCATTAGGGTGAGACCAAAGGTGAGGACAAAATGCATTTGTCCAAAGAGAAACACAGACTGGAAACAAAAACTGAGAACTGAGTAGTGGCTCAGAGCAAAGTGCTAAAGAGCAATCTCTATACCAGAGCATTAACAAAGCAGATATGAAATGTCCTGAACCACCTGTGGCGGACAGGGTTGTATATTGCCTGCAGGTGGTACAGCTTCCCTGTCATGTATCCATGACAGCCAAAACTGACTGACAGCCTTGGCAACGCTAGGTAGCTCTGCAGCACCCCAGCTGGAGCAAGCTCGACATAAACTATTTCCTTCAACTACTGTATATACAGTGCCAGAGCCTGCGAAATGTCACATATAAACTCAAGAATGATACGATTCCTCAAGAATGGGCACAAAATTGTCACAGTGCCACTCTCAGATCTTCTAAGCTTCTGGGTGGGCATTAGTTGATCAGGGTTTTGTTACGTCTTTTTGCGGAACAACACTTTCTGTAACATTTTCAGTGCCAGATGGCCTTACAGTGCCATTAGTAAGAGATGTCATTCCTCCTATTGGCATGAACTATCCCGTCAGGTGCTGTCAGACTTTGCAGTGTGTAAAAAATGACACCAACACAGGAAGTTCTATTCCTTTAAAATTGACTTAATCTATGATATAAATTAATTGTGATCCCCAATAAAATTAAATTAAAATCCTAACCTTTTTATTCTCTAATTGTCTATGTTAACCTAAGGGGAAAAGACTTGGAAGTTAGAAATGTGCCGATGTCACAAATCATTATCCTGAAATACACAGTCAGTGTCTTACTTTTGTCTAACATATGCCAGCAGAGTGCTGGATTAATTTGTCCAAAATGATCTGATGTCCATGTGTTTTTAAATTTCACAAACACAGGTGTCCACAGTTTGCACTTCTGCTTAAACTTACAGAATAAATTCTTACATACTGTATCTTGAGGATGGACATCTGAACACATTATATAGACTGTGCTGAGCACAGTCCAGATCCCTAGGGTACACCACAAATATGTAATTTAAACCAAGGTCTTCAGGTACAAACGTAAAATTCTAACAGGTCATAAAGAAACATTTTACACTTGCCTTTCAGCAAGATAAATATATTGTTTTCATTTCATATTATGTAAGTGTATTATTTTTTTGGAATCTCTAATATCTGAAGAAAAAGATTCGATCTTTTAATATCTGATCTTTGAATTTGAAGATTTGATCTTGTTATGTGTAATTTTTGTGATTGAAAAAAAGTGTATTTAATTTTATACTCATTACTAAGGTCTCAGATTGGTTAATGCTTGTGGTGTAACTGTGCTACATTTCAGTTCTAACAATTTTACCATGTTGCATCAGGAAAGTGCTTTAGTAGAATGCAAAATGCTGCAGCCTGGATTGTATTGTCAAAAGATGCTCATTTTATTTCTTAATTTTCTCCTTTCAGAGATAAAGAACAATCCTTCAATAGTTGCAAAATTCCACCCTCAGTTTTGGCATGAAGGTATATGGTTGTGCTGCAGACAGGCAGACAAATTAGCGCCAGGCTGTGAAGAATACAACCTGTTTGGAGACAGTAAGTTCTTCATTCCCTGCACTATGCTTTTATAGCAGGAGCTATAGGAAGAATTTGCCTCTTTAAACGTTTTTACCAACATACAACTGTCATTCTAGTGAATGAGATTAGAAGCTGCGTGTGAACTGCAGGGCAACAAAAAGTTAGTTCTAGACTGAAAATAAATAAATAAATAAAGGAGACAAAACACAATGATTGGGTAGTGTTCTGTCAATATATGTGTATATTTCAACATTTATTTTTTTATTGTTTTCAGTTTCACGAAAGCCTCTTCCTCCAATTCCTGCAAATGAGACTTCAGAAAAGGTGAGTAAGAACCTTTTCCTCCCAGAAAGTTCCTTAACTTTGCATCTAGTACTAGGCCACTTTATAGAAAGAAATCAGTTTATTTTGTCTACATAAATCTGTAGAGGGAGCAGAATGTCAGGTCAGAATGTCATTTGTATTGATTGATAGGTAATATAACAGGTGGTGTAACTTAGTGGGCAAATATCTGTACTGTGGGCAGGGGTGGGGTTGCTGGTTCAAGTCCTTGCTGCAAACACAGCTGTTGTACCCAGACAGCTCCCAGCTTTATGAATGGGAATAGCATTTGCTGGGGGTGGTATCTCGTCCGGAGTCAACTAATTTGTTCTCTCTTCACTTGGCACCATGGAAACCAGGATAGGCTCTCGTTTGGGCCGCTATTCTGTCTCCAATAGAGTCTATGTATCCATAAAATTGCATCCTCAGAAATCACCAATTTATTTTTATTCTATGATAGTCCAGCATTTTCAACATATTTCTTTTACGTTTCTACTATTTTTGTAATAAAATAAAGTACAATGGTAGTTCACTACTTAATTGTCACAAACTGGAATATATTATGTAGCGAAGAGAGATTTTTGTGGCATATTTATTATTTGAGGAATAAAATCCCTGAAGCATTGTGAATTCAAAATAATTTCAAAATCTTCAGGATGAGGGCTCCCTCCATCCTCTGCAATTTTGTTTGGCACGTGCATGCTCATGGTACACAGAACAATACAGATCCTGTTCCAGGTATCAAATATGGACATTCTTCTTTGAAGGAGAACCCAGTCTGCACAATAAATGCTCACATTTTGTTGGTAGCCCCCAGAAAAGAAAAATGAATAAATCAACACTAAAACATTGTTCCATAACTGCACTTTTAGAAGTTTAATTTGGCCAAGTGAGAACAGTGAAATAATGGTTCCAATTATAATTATTTGTAATTGCATTTATATAGCACTTTTAATCCCAAAGGATAAAAAATGTTTTATAATTAAGAGGGGTTCCACTTCATCTTCATCTGAATTGCAGCACCCACCTGGCTAATGTGCAGCATTCATTATGAACCAGCAGCCCCACTGCACCCCCGAACAGGTAGAGAAGTGATATATTGCTTCACCATTTGAATTAAAAGAGGAACTTCAGCCAGGCCAGTTTGTGCAAACCTGGAGTGGAATCTAGCCAGGACACAGGGATTAACACCATTACTTTTACACACTGTGCCATGGGATCTTCATTGACCATAATTGTAATGTCATTTGGACAGGACTTCATACAACCTAGTGCTTTTGGTCACCATACTGAATCCGTTTTAGAAATTCTGATCCCAAGGGAAGACTGCTACTTATTGGCTCATCAGCATTTCTTACAACAGCGGTCTGCTTTTCCTCAAAGGTTTCTTATCCCAGTACTGACTAGGCCTTTAGCTTCTCAGATGTGATTTGATGAGGCTACAAGGTGGTAAACCTGCTGTATGGTTAACACAATGCTGTGATACAACATTAGACACACTGTGGGGGAAAAAAATAAAAATAAATGCACTATGGAACTGGGGGAAAGATGTGAATGAACTAACTATACCACTGAAACATTTCCTAAGGGCGCTATGTGCAGTCTTTTACAGAACTGATAGAAAAGTGTGTCTTTCAGCCTCGCAGGCTGCCTCCACCTCCACCTCCTGAAGAGGATGATGTGAGTAAAGAAGAGGAAAAAGAGGAAGTTGTAATAGCCATGTATGACTTTGAGGGGGTGGAAAGCCATGACTTGAAGCTTGTCGAGGGTGAAGAATATATAATTATTGAAAAATGCGATGTAAACTGGTACAAAGCACGGAATAAATATGGGTATGTATATAGTCCCAGTTGTCCATGTCTGTTGGTTCTGTTTTGTGTACCTACAGTGCCTTGCGAAAGTATTCGGCCCCCTTGAACTTTTCAACCTTTTGCCACATTTCAGGCTTCAAACATAAAGATATACATTTTTTAT